CCTGGTAGCCCAGGGATCCAGGGACAGAAGGAAGGACGGGGCAGGCAGTGCAGGATTCAGGAGAACACAGGAGCCCCTGGAGCCCAGGCTGAGGGTGCCGGGCTCTCTTACTGGGGACCTTGAGGCTCACTGCTCTGGGTGGGTAGCCTTAGAGTAGGAGCTTAAAGTAGGAGCTTTAAGCTGTTGTTGAGCACTGGTCCTAGCATACAGCAGGGCAGGGTTGTGGGTGGGGTGATCCTGATCTGTTTTTTGCTCAGATTTTGTCTCTTTATTACTACAGGGTCCAGTTCTCTCAATACATTTTGAAATATATGGGTAGAGGGAATCCTTTCTTGGAAGATCATCTATACTCTGCTGGATTGAGTGAGAATGTGTCTTAACATCTAAGGTACATTTGGTGAGGATCCCTACTGAAAAGAGTAGGAGCCTAAAAATGAATAGAAAGTTATCACTAGAAGGAATGAATCTTGGTGGGCTATTTATTGGTAAAGTGACCAGAATTACCAATGACATATTTCAATATTGCTAAATATTTTAACTCATGTATCACAATGAATTGTTAAATGATTATGATAGAAGATATGAATATATGTATATGTTCTAATGAGATTATCTAGATGAGCAGCTACTTCAAGCTCCTTCTGCTTTGTCTTCCACATAATAATAGTTATATGTATGAACTGTGTTTCCAAACAATCTATATTCACTAGTAAGGAACAAAGATTCCTCAACTTGCTTTTGTAGGCATTTTATCACTTCAACAGAGATAGAGATAGAGATAGAGATAGAGATAGAGATAGAGAGAGAGAGAGAGAGAGAGAGAGAGAGAGAGAGAGAAGGATAAATCCTCTTAAGTACAGAAATGATCTATTTGGTGATGTGATTCTTCCTTAGTCAGCCATGATGGAGAGTACAACTGAATTCTGCATCATCATGGTATTCCCTCAATTCCTGAACTAAGAAGAAAGAAGAAGAGGATTATCTGCAATCTCCTGGTTTCAAATGAAGTCATGTTAATGCATAAGCGGTTTGCTTTCTATCTCAGGCTTAAAGACCAACCGTCTTTACAAGGCACAAGAAGCCTTTAGAATTATACACCCTCCTCTTTCCACTGCCCTCTTCTTCCTGAGTCATAGACTACGGAAGTACACAGGGATTTATTTTTTCAGGGATTTCTTTCATTATTCTATGAAGTCTATTTATTCAGAAGGCTTTTGTTGCTGGGGAGAAGTCTCATTGCTTAAGAGAACTCACTGGCTACTCTTCCAGAGGATCTAATTTTCATTCCTGACACCCACATGGTGGCTCACAATGATTCATAACCTCAGGGAATCTGACTCCCTCTTCTGTCTTCTGTAGGCACCAGGCACATGCCCTACATAGACATGTATGCAGCCCAAACACCCATAGACATAAAAAATGAAAATCAAAAAGTAGAGGCTCTCATAATCTCTGTTTGCTTTTCTACCACTGTGTCATCCATGGCTGTTAAAGCTGATGAGTCACTAAAGGGTTTATCTTAAGTGCACTTTGGACCAGGAGGCAAAGAACCCTCAGCTGTGACAGGCGGTTTCTTCAACCTCATCCTTTCACACAGACTCAGATAATCTGCACAGCCCCGCTCCCCCCTCTCCCCCAAGAGAAGTATCTCTTATGACTCTGGGCTTCTTAAGCAGGGCAAATTTTCTTTATGGCTTTCACTCTGTATAAGGACCTCTTGTATGTATCTTGAATGCAGTAATAAACTCCCATATCCAGAGTTACCATGTTGCTATTTTAACAAAGAATAATATGCTAATGTTGTTTTCTGAGTTAATGAAAATCTTCCTATGACTATGTTTCTTGTCATGGCTATATGGTAGCCACTGACACTCATCCAGAGAATACAAATTTGTATGTGATGGAACAGAAGAGCTGAGTTCAGCTTTGTACTGTCTCACATTAGCATGATTCCAAGACTAACATTTCCTGGGTCTCCATCCACAGTGGTGTACATAGAAGATGATACTGTATCCCATGATCTCAAGGACATCAATTTCAGACTCCTTGATTCCAAAGCTGGGGACAAATAAATTACTATTTTCAGTCAGCAAGCTTAGTTCATCTTTAATCACAGCCCACAGAATCTAATGTACCAGGACACACTATGGAAACTTTGCAAACAACCGAGGACTGTAGTTTTTTCTGTTATACATAATATAACATGAGAATTTTGTTATTTTTCTACCTATGTTTCCCCCTTACACATTGTGAGAAGTACATGATTAACAGCAGGAACCCTTGGATTTGTAAGATCACTGTCTCTATGTGTCCAATCTGAATTAACAGCAGTAAATGACGTGAAAGCACAGTCTGAGCTCACTGAAGCTGTCACAAAGCAAAGTACAAGGTTTAGCAAAGACAGAGAGCACATGACCACTTGTTAAACACAGACTAGGGCAGTTACTCATCTGTCATATTTTTGACCTTGAGATTGGGAACTTTCTCAACCTACACATGGTTGGTCTTTCTCTTATGATGGTGTCTTAACATTTGACAGAGGAGATTTGAATATGCTTATTAAAACTCATTTAACATTTTCTACCTAAAAAGTACATATATGAAATTATATTTTTTACTGAAAAATAAAAGGGTAGTTTATATTGCTTGAATGAATATTTAATTTCATTTTCAATAATATTAGCTTAATGCTAATGTGTTAACATGTTAACTTGTTAACAGATAAATAATTTTGGTTATCATATACCATGACCTCTTTTGTATCTAGTTGATTAATGATGCACATTTTTGAAAGGTTGCTTCCATATAGAGATAAGACTTGCCTAGAACTTGCTATGAACCCCAGCCTGGGCCTCAAACACATAATACTCCTGCTTCTGTCTTCCTAGTTCTGGGAATTTTGACTCCTTTCCATGATATTTTATTTATTTATTTATTTATTTTACTGTTTTTTTTTTGTACTTTATACATAATGCTTCGTTTATAATTTATTCCTTATATATGCTTTCAGAGACCACTAACCAGAAGTCCAGGCACTTTCCGTGATTTATGTTATTGGTATTGATTTTCATTCATACTTAATTATTTTTTCCATTTCAAGGCAACAGTCTCTGATGTTGAAGTTTATTGGTTTCTGTAAAACTGTTACTTGATTTAGGCTGGCTGTGCCCTCCCTCTGGGAAAGTCTTTTCTTGTTCACTATGTCAACAAGACAACCTTACCCAGTTTCAATACTGCTAATTTCCAAATTATCCTAACGTACAAATTTCTGGAATAAATGATCTTGGAAAAGTTGGCCTACATCTATGACTTCTTGAAGAAATATTGTTTCTTTCCTTGCCCTTCCATCCCCTTAATTTAGAACCCTCTTTCTGTTTCCTGAAGTTGTAGGGAAGATACATGTTAGTTTCTGTTGGGTTTGCCTTCTTCAAGATTAAAGTTCCTCTGATATTAGGTTTAAATTAATGTTCCCTTGATGTCCATAGAGCTATTATTGGTTTCTTTTTGCATCTCTGTTCCATGTTTGGCCTGGAAACTGGAGTCCAAATGTCTTAGGTACTTTTCATTGTCCTCATTGTATGAGTTGCTTTGGAGATGGGAGGTAATAACATCGCTAATTTCATTCTTTTGCTTTTCTCTTTTCTTCCTTTCACTCTTCCCTTTTTTATTGCTTGTTTCCTAACTTTATGTCACCAAATTTGTTGTTGCAATTTTTTAAACATATCATTTTCCTAGGACTGTCAATCTGAGATAGTTCTCCTAATGTTTCTGTACCTGATTTAAATATGTCTTGGATTTTAACCAAAGATTCTGTTAGCGAACCTAGTAGATTTCTATTGGGGAGCTATAAGCCAGTGATTTCTCATGCTCTTTGTGACTGAATATTTGCTTTTTGATTAATACCAGTCACTCTCACACATACTGCCCATGAATCTGCTTTTGTATTTGCTGACTGCTTTGCATGGGCTCCTCCAGCCTAGCCCAGCTGCTTGGAATTTATAAACCAGGCCTTTACAGTGAGAACTGAAATGAATAAGACAGGCAGGGGGAGTAAGATGGAGTCACGCACCTCTGTTCTCATGTCCCTTCTTTTCTTGGTGTCTGGTGAGAAATTTCAAAGTATTATTTTCTTTTCAGAATCACTTCTTTGTACATAAGAAATGTGTTACAGGGTGTATTATTTTTTATGCAACAATACTCTGACAATATGGAACTACAAGGACATTAAATGCCAAATTTTATCTGTATTAAATTATTTTTTTTTATTATGCATGATCATTGTTATTCCTGATTGCAGGTGTATGTGCAGATATTGTGATGACCCAGTCCCCATCCTCACTGGTTGTGTCAGTAGGAGACAAGGTCACCATCAGCTGCAGGTCCAGTCAGAGTCTTTTAAACATTGGAACCCAGAAGAACTACTTGAATTGGTACCAGCAGAAACCAGAGAAATCTCCTAAATTGCTGATCTACTATGCATACACTCGGGACACTGGGGTCCCTGATCGTTTCATAGGCAGTGGATCTGGGACAGATTTCACTCTTACTATTAACAGCGTTCAGGCTGAAGACCTGGCAGTTTATTACTGTCAGCAGGATTTCCTCTATTCCACAGTGCTTCAGCCCCCAACACAAACCTCCTTTGAGAGTCTCACCAGCTGCCTTCACAGCCTGGACATACACACTTCCCATTTCTGCCTGAGCACCCAAACTTTCATGAAACACTTATGAAAATGTTTGCAGAGTCCAGCAAATTATAAGGGGTTAAATGTGTTTTGCATATACAAACATGCAAAGGAGAACTAAGTATTATCTTTCTATTCCTTCTGTAACATATTATCACAAACTCTTGCTTCAATATGAGGGATTTTTTTTATAGTTCTGGTGTTCTGGTGTCTATCATAAGATTCTTTGAGCTGACCTGATGGTGATGACGAACTGTATTTCTGTTTAGAGGTTCTAGGTAAGATGTTTCAAGGTTTTTCTAGATTCTGTAGTGCTTTTTACTTACTTACTGGTGCTCATTTCTTCTATTTTTTCTTTTCCTTTCTGTAGATTTTTTTAACTTTTATTATACTTTAGATAAATACCTCTGTCTGTGTGTATGTGTGTACACTTTTCTAGGTGCACATGTGACATGAGGACACTTGATTTGTGTCTGGGGATTACGTTCTGGTTTAAAATCAGGCTGGATGGCAAGTGTCTTTGCCATCCGATCCATCTTTCTGCTCCTTAAAATCTCTTCTTTGATGTTAATTCATTTCACACACCTTTCTTAAAATTCAGGATTTTATGGTATACCATATATTTTGACCATATGCACTTACCTTCCCCACTTTCCCTTCCCTTTCGGGCTAATTTTTCTTTCCTATTCCTTCTTCTACTTTTATCTCTTTGTCTCTGTCATACAGATGAACCCACACCCACTGACCCCACACATACGTATACTTACACACATATGTGCATATACATAAATACATATACTTACAAACGCACACATACACACACAAAAGCACTTGCACTTAAATGGAAATACACACATATGCACGAACTTTACATATTTAGAATCTAAAAAGGCAGGGAAATGTAATATTTGTTGTGCTTGTTTCTGGGGCCATATCTCCTTCTAACAATTCCATATCTGATTTTCAGTGGTTGAGAATGAGAAACAATTCTTTGTCTAAAGATGGATTGTTATTGGACATGCCAGAGGAGCAGTGGGTGGCAGCTGAAGTTCCTTCCAAGTGTCAGCCTACCAGACAGAAACTCTCTGATGAGCCCATCTTGTTTAGGCAAGGCCATAGGACTGCAGACCCCAGAATATATTTTGCTTCTGTTGTGCCTTCACATATTTGCTGAAACTCTCTTTCTCTGTTATCTAGAATGGATATAGGGAGATCTCCACTCCATGTAATATAGTGTGTTTATCTCTTGTAAGCATCCCATTCTACTGGGGATTTTATCTGCAGATTGTCAAGAAGATGACTCCTCCCTAGGCTGTACTTTTTAATTTGATAACAGTAGTGATACCCTATACAGAGTTTTAATCCCCAGACACATACAAGCTAAGGCCCATGATTTCCATATTATGACTACTCAGGTTAATGAATAAAAGGAAAACACCTGAGTCCAGGAACTAGGGTGACTCTAATTCTGTTAGTCCTGAAAAGAGGCAGTAATATACCATTAGCTAAAACAAATTAGATCAGATGCCTTGCTAATAGTTTCATGATAAATAACCCCAGAAAACAATATAAAGTTCACAAGGACACATAGCTGAGCTGTCTGACTCATTTGCCTATGGTCTAATATACAGTATGGCCTGATTGTTGACAGCTACCCTTGCTAGGTCTGGTTAATAACCAAAGATGATGATTAATTCCTTATACCAATATTTGTCCTCAATATCCTGATATGTAAAAGGCCATTGGGCAGTCTGTGGGGCCACTGACAGTGGGACCAGTATTTAATCCTAGTGCTTGACCTGGCATCTTGGAGTGCATTTTCTGGTGGTATACTTGCTCAACCTAGATATAAAGGGAGGGTCTTGTCTTGCCTCAAAGTGTCAGACCTTGTTGACTTCCCATGGGAAGACTTAACCTTGCTGAGGAGTGGATGGGGGTGCTACAATGAATGGTTTGCAGATGGGACAATTATACAAAGAGAAGATCAACTTAACTGAGATTGACACATTGTTAATTATCATACTGATAATTTTTATTTTATCCATAAAAAGTTGTTTGATATCAAATATGAAAAGTCCCAAATATGAAAAAAACTGACTGATAAGATAATACTCTTAGAAAAAGAGATTAATGGAACTAAGAAAAATACTTACACACAGACAGAGGAGTTTAAAGCAGAAGACAGGGACATCATAACATTATGAAACAGAATATTATTTTCCCAAGATTATTAGAAAACCAACATTAATTTATCAAGTTACCATTTAATAAGGACCTCCAGATAGTAGGCATTCTAAGGTTATTCAGAAGTTAATTGGGAAGCTGTAAAAATGTTAGATTTGAAGAGATTAAAGAAGAAATAGTTTCATATGGTATGCGTTCACCTTTTGTGAGGCATATGTTAAATTCATGGTCCACTTGGAACAAATTTTTCCACAAATCTGGAAAGATTTACTGACAACATTATTGGAATCTGGTCCTCGGTTATAGTGGACTACCTTGTAGAGAGTTAAGCTAGGGTCATTGAACTGCAAGATAAGTTTAGAGGTTATGAGATTTCCGAAGATCAAATAGTTGGTGAGGGCATTGTGCTGATATAACAAGACAGGTTACATTTGATGATATATATTGTCTTTATTCTGTACAGTAGTTTTAAATGTTGGGCAGCACAGACACTGAAAGAAACAATTAATAAATGGGACCTCCTGAAACTGAAAAGCTTCTGTAAAGCAAAGGATACAGTCAACAAGACAAAATGACAGCCTACAGAATGGGAAAAGATCTTCACTAACCCCATATCAGACAGAGGTTTGATCTCCAAAATATACAAAGAGCTCAAGGAATTGGTCATTAAAAAAAAAAAAAATCCAAAAAAAAAATGGAGTACAGACCTAAACAGAGAACTTTCAACAAAGGAATCTAAAATGGCTGAAAGACACTTAAAGAAATGTTCAACATCCTTAGTCCTCAGAAAAATGCAAATCAAAACCACTTTGAGATTCCATCTTACACTTGTAAGAGTGGCTAAGATCAAAAACACTGATGACAACTTATGCTGGAAAGGTTGTGGGGTAAAGGGAACACTTCTGCATTGCTGTTGGGAATGCAAGCTGGTATAGCCCCTTTGGATATCAATGTGGCAATTTATCAGAAAATTAGGAATTAACCTTCCTCAAGACCCACTAATATCACTTTTGGGTATATATCCAAAGGATGCTCAATCATGCCACAAGGACATGTGCTCAACTATGTTCATAGCAGCTTTGTTTGTCATAGCCAGAACCTGAAAACAACCTAAATCCCCCTCGACCAAAGAATGGATAAGAAAAATGTGGTACATGTACACAATGGAGTACTACACATCAAAAAAAAGACACCTTGAATTTTGCAGAAAAATGGAGCTAGAAAGCATCATATTGAGTGAGGTAACCCAGACACAGAAAGACAATTATCATATGTACTCACTCATGGGTGGTTTTTAAACATAAAGCAAAGAAAACCAGCCTACAAAGCACAATCCCAGAGAACTTAGACAACAATGAGGACACTAAGAGAGTCTTACATAGATCTAATCCACATGGGAAGTAGAAGAAGACAAGATCTCCTGAGTAAATTGGGAGCATGGGGACCTTGGAAGAGGGTTGAAGGAGAAGGGAGAGGTAGGGAGGAGAGCAGAGAAAAATGTAGAGCCCAATAAAAAATCAAATTAAAAAAGAACCAGGAAAGAAAACTGAGCCAGTTATTTAAATAATTCAAGGCCGAAAAGAAACCTTCATTAATATTTTATGGAGATTGACTTCAGCTGTAAATAGAATAATATCAGATCCAAAAGTTTAAAGAAAAAATTAATTGGATCTTTTAAAATGCTAATTCAGTATGTAAGAGGATAATCAGGCCTTTAAAGGCAGGATAGGGACCCATAAATTAATGGATTAAAAGTATAGCTGATATTGAGTTTCATGCTTATGATGATGCTTGGATAGAAGTGACTTCTAAAAATTTTTTGGGAAAAATCAGAAGGTTAGATCTTTTAATTGTGATAAGCCAGGTCATCTGAAAAAAAGGTTACAGCCAAAGTGTTCCCACGAAATTTTTTTTTCCTAGAAAGGCCACAGCCTTCAGAAATATATAAATGGTGTGACAAAAGGTGACATCAGACTAATGAATGAATACAGATTAACATGGAACAGGAAAAGGTGATGTAGGAGGGTTTTCTGTCTGTGTATTAATTTCATTGGTTAATAAAGAAACTGCCTTGGCTTTTGATAGGATAGCAGCTTAGATAGGTGGAGTAGGCAGAACATAATGCTCGGAGAAAGAAGCAGAGTCAGGCAGATGCCATGCCTCTTCTCTCTGAGATGGATGCCAGTTAGACTCATCCCAGTAAGCCACAGTCATATGGCGATACAGATTATTAGAAATGGGTTGAATCAATATATAAGAGCTAGCCAATAAGAGGTTAAAACTAATGGGCCAGGCAGTGTTTAAAAGAATACAGTTCCTGTGTAATTATTTCAGGTAAAGCTACCCATGCAGCCCACCGCTCCTATCACTACACAAAGGAAAACTTTGCAATTGGAAATGCCATAGAAAGCCTTGTGCAGATTCTCATATCAAATTTGGTTTAGCCATTCCCTATCAGCATTGGAGAAAGTCCTCCACAGAGCAATTAAAAGACTTAACATCTGTTATGGACAACCATACTGATCTGGATGACAGAATAACTAGTAGTTAAACACAATTTTCAAGAGAAACCATAAAGCAAATATTTTGCAAGCTTCTATAAAATGATCAAAGACCAAAGTTAAAAAAAAAAAAACAAACAAATGACATTATAATTGAGGGTTTGGTACACACAGGCACAGATATAACAATAATTACACCAATATATTGACATCTAAATTGTCCTCTCCAGGACATAAATATTCAGCTTTTAGATACTGGAAATGTATCTCAAGTAAAACAAAACACAAGATGAATTGACTGTATAGGGATGAAAAGACTAAGAGGAAAATTAAAGACACGTGTGGCTAACATAACAAACTT